CAAATCGCTCGTCTACATTTAAAATTAGAATGAAGTCCAATACAGTGTCGTCACTAAGACTCTATGGTCTAACACCCATGCATTCCACTTCAGATTCTAATGAGGGAGATGATGCAACGGTAGATGTTTGAATGTGAAAAAAGAACTACAATTTTAACCTACATATGGTTCAATAACGAATTTTACTGCATAAAAAGTTCACTAGTTCATAGAATTTTAGGCATTGAATAGCACACAAAACTTCTCTAAATTAATGATCTTAATAATACTTGACTCGGTCCCACTTAGGGGTGGAAATTATTTGGTCCGAAACCAAAAAACCGGAAAACAAATCGAATCAAAATCTAGTTTAGACCAAATCATATTCAAATTCGGTTTTTGGTTTGGTTTGAGACAAAACCGAATTATAAATTTTGTTTTTGGTTCGAGTTTTGGTCTCATGAAGTTTAAACCAAACCGAACCGAAAAACCGAATTTCATAAGTCAAGTAATTTAAAAAATATATATTATATTTTATATTAAATAAAAGTATTAGTTATAAAGAAAAAAAATCATTTAAACCGTTACTCTTTAGATCATTTAGTATGAAACTTACTCTTTAGATCATTTGGTATGAAACTTTATATTTTTCTGTTTACAACTTTACTTTTCTATGTTAAAAACAGTTTAATTTATGTTTGAAATTTTTTTAACTTAATATTTAATTTCCTCGGTTTTCAAACCAAACCAAACCGGATTAGAATTCGGTTTCGGTTTGGTCTGGAGAAATTGAATTCGATTTGGTTCGGTTTTTGGATTGGACTAAAAAAATTCAAACCGAGGAAACCGATTAAAGGAATCCGAAAAACCGAACCGATTCCCACCGCTAGTCCCACCTTTAGGAGTTTATCTACATCTAGTTTAAGTTTTACACCCTCTAGTTTAAGTTTTTACACCCTATTCGGCCTCTTCATTTCCAACTTTGATGGATGTTGATTTTGTTAGTTTCCACAACTAATGCTTCTACGCACAAAAATAAAATGTTATTTAGTATTTATATAACGAGTTTATAAAATTGTGGTTTATATATATACGTGTGAGATCTGTTGAGAACCCATAATTTCCCGAGAACCAGAGAACTAAATGTGGAGCGTCGGATCAAAATTAACTCCGTAAGAGCATGATCGTCTTCTTACCAGTCTCATGTAACTTTTTGTATTATTAGAAGTATTAATAAAAAAACTCTCAAATTAACATTATAAATCAAATTTTTGGAATTTTTTTTATAAAAATAACAATTTTTGTTTTTTTTTTTTAAATTGCAGATTTTTTTAATTTTTTCAGAAAACATAAATTAAAAAAAAATTGAAAAAAAACATTTTTTTTTCAAAAACTGCATTTTTTTAAAAACAGTAAATTTTATAAACTTAGCAAATTTATAAATTAAAAAAAAAAAAAAAAAAAAAAAAAAAAAAACTAGAATATTTAAAATAAAAAAAATAAAAAAAAATAAAAAAAACTATAACTTTTTTAACCAAAAAAATCAACCTTTTAGGAGCATATAAGCCTATTTTTTCAAGTGAATGTATACATATTTCTTATACTATAATATTTGTAAGTATATCATACAAAATACACATTTTTATTTACTAATCTATAAACACAATAGAATAAATATTTTATTCGATACAAAATAAAATATAAAAAACAAAAAATGCTACAAATTTCAAAGCGTGTCATGTCTTCGTGTCAATATTTCTATATTTTCTTCAATTTATCAGTTTTCATCTCTTCAATATTCACCACAATTTCTTCCAAATCTATAAGAAAAATAAAAAGAAATTGATTTATGCAAAAACACTCACAAAAATACATATTTGATTTACATGTGAATCACATGTGAATCACATGTAATTCACATGTGAATCACATGTAATTCACATGTGAATCACATGTAATTTATATGTGAATTACATGTGAATCACATGTAATTCACATGTAATTCATATGAATTACATGTGATTCATATGTGAATAACATGTGATTCATATGTGAATTACATGTGAATCACATGTGAATTACATGTGAATCACATGTGATTCATATGTGATTTAATGTGAATCGCATGTAATTCATATGTGAATTACATGTGTATCACATGTGACTCTTATGTGATTTACATGTGAATCGCATGTAATTCATATGTGAATTACATATGATTTACATGTGAATCACATGTAATTCATATGTGAATCACAAGTGAATTAAAATATGAAATATATGAAGCTATTCTATGTTGCACGGTTGCAAATATGGGTGATCGTATTTGAAATGTTTCATCTAATAGATTTTATATTTTTTAAAGCCAATACTAACCATGGTTTCATTACTCCAACATAGTGTACAACTGTTGCCTCCTCGATACTTCCTGCTTGGTTCTAGAATGATACCCGAATCGATGAACATGCCTTTTTCGCTCCAATCCATTGTCTGGATGTAAAATGTCAGCCAACCTAATAATTTAATAGACGTTGAGTTGTTCATTGATTTCAACGAGTTTGCCATAAACAAAGAGAGTTAATATCACTAGTACATAGTTTAGTTACCTTATGCCTCCGTCATCATCATCATCATGACACATATAGATAATATTGATCCACCTTTAAACATGCTCATCTGGTAATTGGCACCTGCCATAACAGGAAAGCAAATGAACAGAAAAAAATCACAACAATCCTAGTTTATTTATGTTCAATGCACAATTAACATTTCAAGATAGAGATATAGCTTAATTATAGGTATTATTATAAGTCCATAACTATCATCATAATTCTTAAACTAAATTTTTTCTTGTAAACAATGAACCTAAAGTTCATATGTTCTTTTAAGTAAGCCTGAAGGTTCCTCATGTACTCCCTTTGAAGCCTTTTGAACATAACATAATTTTGTCATTTTGTAAAAAGATAATGCCATTTTTTTGTGAAATTGGCTAAACGTAAGTAGTTGTTTGAAATGTAAACAAAATTAGGTATAAAAAAGTTGGTTGAGGTATTTGGATTTTAGGAAAATCACATGACTTTAAGTCCCTTTAAAGTCATGACATCACGTTGTTGAATAAGAACCAAGATTTTTGCCAAACATACGAATATAACATCAACCATAACAGATTTTTGCAGTATAAAAGCACACCCAACTTCAATATTAACACAATAAGACCAATACTGATGAACAATGGTGGCTAAGAGTGACAAGATATAGTGAAAGACTACTAATTTATGAAAAACATACCCTAAATTTATAATTCTCCTCCATAATAACACATAAATATTGCTCTTTGATCCCTGACAATTGACATCGATTGACATATGTGAAAGGCATAATTGATTGGGGCATTTTGTCAAACACATGGAAGGCGTAAATGATTTCAAACAAACTTTATAAAACATACCTAGCTCAAAACAAAGAGATACATTAAACATATATGAGATTGATTGATACCAAAATCGAATGATAGAGAATCAATTTGTATTGAAAATGAAATGAACCAGAGAAAAAAATGTAGACTAGTAGAGAAACAAAACAATTAACCTAGAATCAACAGAGAGAAGAGAGAGAGAGAAGAGAAACAAAACTATGAACCAGAGAAAGAAAACTCACTAGATTTATAATGATGGCTTATGTCCTCTTTACGAACCCTAATCGGCCCTTGGATATGCCTCTGATCCTTCGGAATCACGTAACTTTATCCTATTGATAATCTAAGGCTTCATAACACTAAGATTTCAGAAGCATCAAAAAGATGAAGGATTGAATGCGATTCGACGGATGAGGTCCAAAGACGATGGATCGTGGGTTCCTAGAGAGCGACAGAGCGTAGAAGTTGGCATGATTCATTTGATAAAAGGGTATGAATTTTGTTATCCTAAAATGCCCCTAATTAATTTAAAAAAAAAACATGCCTTCGTGCCTTTTCTTTCCCAGGTATTTACAAAAATGCCACAAAAGATTCTAACCATTGTTTATTTTGATCTAATGATCCCCGTTTGGTTCTCGAGAAACTATAGGTTCCCAAATGATCATTCCCCTCTCTCTCTTTCTCTCTCTCTCTCTTTATATATATATATATATATATATTATATATATATATATATATATATATATATATATAAGTAAGGCCCATGCTCTATATTTGAAAGGGAAGTGGTTTATTGAGGATTTTTAACATTTTTTTGTAGAATTTTTTACATAATAATCACATAAGGTATTAGTGTATTTAAAAAAAATATATATTAATAAATGAAAATGAACGCAAAAAAAAATGAAAAAACGAAAAAAAAATTTAAAATCAAAAAACAAAGATTCCGCAGAGCTGTAGAGGATCCACGAAGCCTTTAATGAAGTTTATTTTAAAGTATATTTATTATGAAGGTTATATGTTTATGTTTTTTTAAATTATGTTTACTAACCTACTTAAAGTATGTTTATTATTCAGAATACCAGTGTGTATAATTTTATAAAAAATAATATATTTATATAATTTTTATTAAACGTATAACTTTTATTAACGGGTAATTAAATAAGAAAATTAAAAAACGAAAATAATTTTTTTTACATAATAATCACATAATATCTTATGTGATTAAAAAAATATTAATAAAGAAAAAAAACGAATAAATAAATAAGAAAATAAAAAAAAAAAACAATTTTTCTTTACATAATAATCATATAATACCTTATGTGATTAAAAAAATATATTAATAAACGAAAACAAAAAAACAAACAAAAAAACAAAAAAAAAAAAAATAACAAAATAACAAAAAAACAAATAAAAAATGAAAAAACCAAGATCCGCAAAGATATTCACATTCCGCAGAGGTGTTTATGGTTTAGCAGAACTCCTTCTATGGAACCTATGATCATTTTCTGAAATATTCATTTTTGTGTTTATTTTCTTCAACCTCATCCTATATTTGCCGAATAGAAAATGCTCAAATAGTCTAAATATCACAAGATTTAGAGGTATGGAGGATTGGCACAACATTAACTCCGGTCGGTCGGTAGTAATGAGTTTTGGTAAGCGTGTAGTAATCTATTGGTGCCACGTATGGACTGAATGGATCGAATAAAGGTTATCTGACTGTGTAAGTGATCCAGGTACACTTTTGGTGTGGCGCCCTAAGAAGATCGAACCACGTTGGCAAACAAAGTTAAGATATTTGCGTGTAGGATCCAAACTCTTCTTTCCTAGATATCTTTCCACTTTTTTTTAGTAATTCATTACTTTAAATTGTAATAGCTAATTAATGTTTGTATTAATTTGATAAATACTATCATTTGATTAATTAATTATGTTTATGAAATATGGTCCAAAAAGGTTCCATACATCTCAAATTAAAACCAAACTTGAAAAATAAACCAAAACCGAAAAATTAAGATATACAAAGGGACCAACTATCTCAAATCATAGAGTGGCCACGAAAGGAGCAAAGTAGCAAATATGGAAGACGGGTGGACGAAAGTGAGGCGGCGTAACACGACGGCAGAAACCACATTCTTTGTCACCAACATACCAAATGGCGCAACTAAATCAGAATTCAGGAAAATCTTTTCTCAAATGGGAAGATTATCAGATATTTATTTCGGGAGGAACACAGGGAAGAACGGGAAAAACTAAGGTTTCATACGATTCATCGGCATATCCGACGTCAAAGCTTTGGAATTGCAACTGAACGGTGCTACATGCAGAAACAATAAACTTGAGATTAACGTTGCAAGGCATGGACGGAAAACACTTCCATTACCTTCTGGGAAAATAAACCAGAACCCAAGAAATGCCGAGCCCCTGGGACAAAATACCGGTATCCATGGAGGCGGATTTACCGACCACATAACATATGCTCAGGTCACTGGTCACTCCAAATCAAGGCAGCCCAATAATAACATTCACCAAACATCTGCTCCGATCCGCTTACACACCGACGACGGCATGGACCGATGGCTCACTAAATCCACCCTCATTGGCGAAGCTAAATCCCTGGAACTCCTTGGTCATATGCCAACTCTCATCTCCATCCACAGTGAACACCGCCCTTCAATCAAATACCTCGGTGGGATGCTTGCTCTAATCAGCTTTGATTCCACAGTTGCTGCAAGAGAATTCCAAGAAAATGAGGGGAACTGGAAAGATACATTCAAATGGATGAAGATGGGATCCACTGCAGTCACAAAATCCAAACGGATAATATGGATCAGGATAGTTGGACCCCCCATCCGACTATGGAATAACTCCAACTTCTCTGCTATTGTGGGGAAGTTCGGAAAAATAGTGGTGCCAATAGACCATATCACTAGTCGAGTTGACCTCTCTGTGGTGAAGTTAGCTATTCTCACAGACAAATTAACAAAAATCAATGAGGAGATTCAGGTGGAAGCTGATGGCCGATCTTTTCACGTTGGAATCGTTGAATACGAAGATGAACCATGGTTCCCGTTCAAGTTTGACAACGAAGAACATCCATATGAAGATCAGGTGTTGGATGATAAAACTGAAAACGAGTCTATGGTAAGTGAGTCAAATAATTGGAACTCCATTGAAGAAGATGAAGGTGTATCTGCAACTTGGATCAATGACATGGAGGAGGGGGAAATCATTCAGGATGGGAACCCTAACTCTCCAACATACCATACCGCAGAAAAGACTAATGAAGGCGGTGATGACCCAACAATGTCATGCACAGTGGTCGGAGATGACACGGAACATCACCAGAGAACAACATCGGCGACGAAAACCAATGAGTCCGGTGAAGAAAGACCGATTCTCGAGAAAGGGGTCTATGAAGCGACACTCAATTTCCAAGACAATTCAAAAGATAACGGTAAGACGGATCGGGTTGCCGCCCTAGATAATCAGACGAACCCAATACCCTCGGATCTTCAGAGTTTGGGCCCAATGAAAATTGTTAACTTCCCAACTTCATTAGCCCAATCTGGGTGCTTTGGCCCTTTTCCCTCTTTTAAATATACTCCTCCTTCAGTCGGTCAACATAGTTTTGATAATGGTCATGTCCGCTCTTCTTTAAAGAGACGCCGCTTACAGCGCTCTCCCCCTAGCGAACTCACAAATTCGATCCCAAGAACCACCCTATTTCAAGCCACTGAAAGAAGTCGACCTCCCCCCATCATCATATCCACCACCACCACAGATGACCCAACTCAGATCCCTCAACCTAGCACCGGCCAAAACATCGATGTACAGACTCATGAATTAACCGACCTAGTAGTGGAATCAACAAAAATTGAAGCGACAGCTGCAGTGGGTTCCCTAATTGGGTTCGAGATTGAACCTAATAATTGTATCCTAGCTGAAATTCTTGGAGTATCAGGTGAGCACAATGTTCCCCAATGAATTTCCTTTCTCTGAATATTAATGATATTGGGGGAGAGCATAAGGTGGCATGGATCAGACGACTTAAAAGAAAGCATAGGTTATCATTTATTGCAATCCAAGAAACACAACTCCTAAACGCTGAGATTATTGATGCAAGGGCTTGTTGGGGCTCTACTGATTTTGGTGTTAGTCGCACTAGCTCCTACGGAAGGTCTGGAGGTTTACTAAGTCTGTGGGATAATAAGATGTTCACTTCTGCTGATGTTATATCCTCTCGCAATTATCTTATCAATATTGGCACTGGGAAGGCATTTCAAGACCAATAATTATTGCTAATATTTATGGACCATAAACGGTACATGAAAAGGCATTATTATGGGAAGAATTGAAAGGGATCATACAAGCTATCAATGGGGTGTGGATCATGATGGGAGACTTTAATGTAGTAAGGAGACCTGATGAGAGATTTAATTCAATTTTATCGTACAGCCAGAGACTTCAACAAGTTCATACAAGAGGTGGGTTTCACAGATCTTAAAATGGGTGGGTTCAGATATACATGCTTTAGGAATGATGACATAAAACTGATCAAACTTGATCGCTTCCTAATCAGTCCAAGCTTTCTTGATATCGCTCCCAAAACCTCTGTCACCGCATTACCACGAGAACTCTCCGACCACTGTCCCATACTACTCTCCACCACCAAACCGGACTTTCCCCCCCACCATTCAGGCTCTTCAATTCCTGGTTACTGCAAGAGGGTTTTGAGAAGACTTTCATAACCAGCTGGAATAATTTCATTGGGTTCGGTACCCCGGACCAGTACATGGCGGCAAAACTAAGATACGTCAAAGAAGCCTTAAAAAAAATGGAGAGCAACAGAACACCCCATAGAAGAGGCTACTTTAATTAAACTCAAAAAGGAAATAGAACGTTTGGATCAGGAAGCTGAATCCAGGGCACTCAACATAGAAGAAGCGACGAGGCGAAGGGATAGTTTCAAAAAAATCGCAGAACTCGAAAAACTCAGAGCGTTAGACATAAAGCAAAAGTCTCGGGTCAAATGGGCTGTAGACGGGGATGAAAACACTCGATTCTTTCATGGCCACGTTAACAATAATAATTCGAAAAACGGGATTGATGGACTCATGATCAACGGGTCATGGTGCATTGACCCGACGATGATAAAACTGGAGGCCTTCAATTTTTTTGCCAATAAGTTTAAAGAAAAATGGCCTTCCAAACCGAAACTAAGCAACAACCACTTTAATAAGATCACCCCAGCTGATTTCCAGATGCTAGAAGCGCCAATCTCACTGGAGGAAATTAAGGAGGCAGTGTGGGCTTACAGAAACGAGAAAGCCCCTGGACCCGACGGATACACATTCAAATTCATAAAAAAATACTGGGGTGTACTGTTGGGTGACATTGTGGCTGTGGTCAAACATTTTGAGCAGTATGGGAAACTGGACAAATCGTGTAACTCTTCATTCATATCCCTGATCCCCAAAATCAAAGACCCCATTATGTTAAGTGATTTTAGACCCATCAGCCTAATAGGATCATTATACAAGATCATTGCTAAGATCCTCGCATAAAGAATAAAGAAGGTTATGGGGAAGTGCATAGATGAAGTTCAATCTGCATATATCGAAGGCAGGAATATTCTTGATGGGCCGTTGATAGTAAATGAACTATGTGCCTAGGCAAAAAAGTCAAAAAATAAGGTCTTGCTTTTCAAAGTTGACTTCGATAAAGCATTTGATTCCATAAATTGGGGATTCCTCGACTCAAACCTAAAAATCATGGGATTTGGAGACAAATGGAGGGCATGGATTAAGGGCTGTCTTGAATCTGCCAAATCATCTGTCTTGGTTAACGGGAGCCCGACTAAGGAATTCCCAATCTCAAAAGGGGTGAAGCAGGGGGATCTGCTATCACCGTTCCTCTTCATCATAGCTATGGGGGGATTAAGTGCAGCCATGCGGGGTGCATGTCAAACCGGAGTCTTCCAGGGTTTAGCACTACCAAACGGTGGACCAACGATCTCCCACTTACTATACGCAGACGACGTACTGTTTGTCGGAGAATGGTCGAAAAGAAACATAAAAAACCATGCCAGGGTCCTACATTGCTTTCATGCCTCCTCCAGTCTCAAGGTAAACTTTGATAAATCAAAGGTCTTTGGTATTGGCGCTGATATGCATGAAGTCTCAAGATGGGCCAGAACTCTTGGTTGCAAACCATCCTCTCTTCCATTCACTTACCTTGGTGTTCCGGTCGGGGCAAACATGAAATTAATTAAAAATTGGAAACCGGTGATCGAGAGATTTCACAAAAAATTGTCCATATGGAAATCCAAAACTTTGTCGTTTGGTGGTAGACTAACGCTTGTTCAGTCGGTTCTGGGGAACTTACCTACTTATTATCTCTCGATATTTGTGGCTCCCGAGAGGGTGATTGAGACGTTAGAACGTATTCGTATTAAGTTTTTATGGGGTAGCACAGATGAAAAAAGAAGCATACACTGGGTATCATGGGACAAAGTCACTGCATCCAAAGAAATTGGTGGGCTTGCTATTGGTACCATAAAATCTCTAAATTGTTCCCTCGTTATGAAGTGGTGGTGGAGACTTCGATCCGAGCCTACATCCCTTTGGGCCAAAGCCATACATAGCATGCATAATATATACAACAAACCAGACCACTGTTATGCAAACAAATACATACCAGGTGCGTGGAAAAACATCACAAGCATCGGAAAATACCTTCAAAACAAAGGTATCCCAACCGAATCAGTGCTATACAAACAATCAGGTCCAGGTGGTGAAACATGGAGATGTAATCTCACTGTTGACGGATCATTCACAGTAAACGTCCTCCGGAAAAAACTAGACTTCAACCCCACACTAAACCTGGATCAGTTTACATGGCTGAGGGAGATCCCGATTAAAATAAATTGTTTCATTTGGAGGGCTAAAATGGGCAAAATACCTTCAACCTTGGGCCTTTTATCCAGAGGGGTAGATGTGGAAAAAAATTTATGCAGTCACTGTGAAGAAGTAGTGGAATGCGCAGACCATGCATTGGTGGGGTGTAAGTACGCGAGCACGGTTTTACAACTAGTGCTAAAATGGTGTAGAGTTCCTCTCGTAGAACTCAAAACACTACATGAGGTGATCACATACGCTCAAGCATGGTCCAACTGCTCCAAAAAAAGAAGGTTGCTAATGGGAATCTGTTACGGCATGCTCAGGAACATTTGGAAAGTTAGGAACAACATAATTTTCAATAAAAAAACGGCTTTCTGCTCTCATTTGTGTAGACATGATCAAATCCACTACATACCTATGGATAAAAAACAGGGGGAAAATAGGAGTATTGATTGGTTAGTATGGTGTAGTTCTCCGTTTCATTTGTGTGTAATCTGTAATCTTATTATTTGTACGTTGTTATTTCCCCTCCTCTAGTCACTTGCTAGAGGGTGGTCTTATTAATATATTTTCCGGTTCCAAAAAAATTGATTAATTAATTAATTTCAATATGTGACATTTGTTTTGGAACCCGTTGAAATTTATAAAAGGTTGTGCTATAAGGTTGGAGGGTATGGTGCCACCGAAACCGTACTCTCTTCCTCGCCAAATAAACGTCATGTCATTTTTTACCACTCAAGTGTGGTTTCTTACCACACCAAGGGAGTGGTGCCACACTTTTTTTTTAACTATTTTAGTTTAATAAAACTTTTTTTTTTTAACTATTTTAATTTAATAAAACTTCTATTTTAATAAAAAAAACATAATTTTTCATTACTTGAAAATTAAAAAAAAAAAAAAAAAAAAAAAAAAAAAAAAAAAAAAAAAAAAAAAAAACATTACATTGCATTACCAAAAAAAAACACGAAAACCACACACATGACATTTAAATAATCCTTGAAACTTAAAAAATACAAATAAAATAACTAAAGTAAACTACATAAAGTCGTTCTCCGAGAACTCGTTTTTGAGGTCATCCAGTGGATCCAAATTAAGGTTAATGTTTTGAACCTCGTAAATGTGTTCCACCAAGTCATTGCGAAGATTGTGAAATGTTTCAGTGCAACATATCTTTGCTCACCTGTTTATATACTATTCGCCAACAATTTCTATTGATTGTGTCTCTGGTATGGTTTCTTCCTCGTCAAACGCACATAGTGCTCTTCCTTCGTCTTCAATAATCATGTTATGTAATATAAGACATGTATACATGATTTCTTGAAGTTTTTCCTTGCCAAAATAAGCTGCTGGTTTTTTCAATATGAACCACCGTTTCTTCAGAGCTCCAAAAGCACGCTCAACATCCTTCCTAGCTCTTTCTTGAGCTCTCTTGAATTTCTTTCTTCTAGAACCATGTGGAGCTGTAAACGATTTAACAAACACAACATACTCATGATAGATTCCATCGACCAAATAAGAACCATACTTATATGGCGTTCCACGCACTTGAAAAGAAGAATCTGGTGCGGATCCATCGTATATGTTGTTAAATATTGGTGAACGATTAAGAACGTTGATGTCGTTAATCGAAACAGGAGAACTAAAAAAAGCATGTCAAATCCACATATCTTGTGATGCAACTGCTTCAAAGTATGACCGTTGGGTGACCATGATCATCTCGGGTAAATTGCTCATGATATGCTGTAGGGCAATTTTCTCATGTCCAATGGAGACAATCTAAGCTCCCTAGCATTCCAGGAAACCCATGCACACTAGCATGATGAGCTTGCAATTGCAGGATGTCATTACATGTAGGCTTACGTAAATATTTTGGACCATAAAACTGAATCACAGTTTTGTAGAAAAAATGGAGACTATCTCGTGCGATCCTAGCAGACATCCTAAAACTTTCGTCAAACGCATCAGGCGGAATGCCATATGCTAACTGACGAAATGCGGCCGTGCATTTTTGTAAGGGATTGAAATCGGGTATACCTCTAGCATCGCAACGTTGTTGGAAAAAACTACACTCCCTCGTTACATCTT